ACCAGCATTTGCTGCTGCTAAGAGCCAGTCAAAGCACATTGGAGTTGGGGAAGGGGTGGGTGGGAGAAGGCATGGGGTTGGCTCGCTATGTGGTTGGCTCACTATGGGTTTGTTTGGGGGTAGGGGTGGGTCAGGGCTAAAAATAGTGCCTAGTTAGGGAAGATTCCCTCCAATCCTGCTAAACCCCCATGGAGCTGCCAGTCCCTCTGACTCACCTTCACCCTTCCCTCCTGACTTACTTCTTTTGGGCTCCTGGTCACCACTGAACATTGGTAAAACATGTCCCCATGTTTGTGGGACATGGAGTGTTCAATGACATGGGGTGGGAAACTGGGGTGGAGGGGGTCCAGTGGGGTTTGGCAGGACCAGAGAACCTCTCCAATCCCACCAACCCCACCCTGATCTCCCTGATCCCCCAACCTAACCACCCCTTCCCCTACCCCAATTTACCTTAGATCAGGCTCCCAGTACCTATCTAATTACTGAGCTAGATCATGGGACCATTTTTAACCCAACCTCACCCCGCAAACTTCTAACTATAATGTCTGTACAAAGCTTCTATTTTCTGTTCATCTCACATAGCCATCTTTTAAAACATAGTTCAGTTTTGGGGTGATTTTCAATGCCTGGTTTAGTCAAAACTTTCCCAAGAGACATAAGAGAAACAAGAATTAATGTCTCCTTTTTAATGATTGCAATGCTAGCTTTAATTAATTTTGCTACATAAGTCATTCTTTATTCACAAAACATAATTGGTGCTTGATGTAGAATTTTTTTTTAAACAAAATATATGAAGTAAAATCCTATGGTGACCAGCAGGAAGTTAAAAGATAAGCAATAGTTAAAGGGGGGGGGGGGTGGCGAAGCAGGGCCCATAATGTATTCCTTATCTCCCAGTATCTTTTTTTTAACAGTACACTGTTTGTCCTTAATTAATGTGACACAATAGTTATATTATTCTTCTTTACAAAGGCTAATTCATTTTTTGTTTTATCATTCATGAAATATCAAATAGAAAAGCTTTAAATAGGATGCGTGTAAATTGAATGGCTTAATCCTGCAAATGTATTTACTATAGAGCTTGCTATCATGAGAAGTACAAATTGTTTCAGTGCAGCATGGTCATAAGACTCCATGATGAAGTGCAGAAGTCAGTGGTTTAAATTCACAAAAACATTCATAAGCTGGTTTGGGGCCTGTCTCTCTTCATTGGTCAATGGCATTGGAGAGCCGTAGTTAACTGTGTTAGTCTGAAGTCAAGTAGAAGGCAGGGTAGATTTGCACCTTAGGCTAACCCAAGTGTGCATGTGTCTGTGCATGTGGCACAAAAGCTTGTATTATCTCGATACACTTATGTAATATGAAGTGAGCTCCAGAGCATGAAAGCTTGTAATATATTTGTATATACTTACTTTGGTTAGTTTATAAGGAGCAGATCTACCTTGTCTTCTATAATAGTATTTTGTCATGTAAAATTAGTGTAAGTTGAATGAGAATCAGGCTCTTAGTTTGGAGATGAAACTAAACTGAAAAAAACAAACGTGGTTGAAAACTGAATTCTTCATGGGTTGGCATCAAAACTGTAATTCAGACCAGGGGCGACGTGTAGGGGATGCAAGTGTGTGCACATGCACCCCCTAAGCGTGGTGGTGTACCCCCTATGAAAAGGCAGTGCCTGCAGGCAGTCATCAGTCCCCACTGGCCACTACTGCCCTTGTTGGCATCTGTGGGTGGTCACCAACCCCTGGTTGATGCTTGCCACCTCCTGCCCGCTTATCACCACCATGCTCCCAACACCGCCGTCGCCCCCCAGCCACTGGCAGCACGCGTCCATTCATGATTCAGAACAAGATCACTTGAAAATATTTTGGGATTTTTTCAATGTTATACTCAAGTTTGCTTGAAAAGCTTGCAAATTTGAGGGTATCTTTAAAAATATTAGGCCAAGTTTTAACTCTAAGAAAACTCCAAGCTTGGTGACTTCCTTATGTTATAATTTGTAACATATTTTCACTATCATTTTGTTGCTGCATTGGGGATATGCAGCAAACCCCTGGCTGTTTGCTACTTTGAAGGCAATCCTTTGTGAAATCTTTAGTTTGCATGGTGAGCCAATCCAGAGTAGAGCCCCTTTGAGGGAGAATAGAGACCTTAAGAGAGATTTGTGTCAGGAGAAATAAGGATTGTTTTGCTGCACGGAGTCTGTATAGGCCTAAACATCTGTCTGTTCAAGGTGCCACTGACTGAACAGGGACTTGATTTGGAATAGTTTTATTGGTTTTGGTTTATATGTGTATTTGTTCCCCCCCCCAAAAAAATCTTACTTAAGCAGCAACTTAACATAAATGGGAAATGGTTGACTCCTGGTTGTACAACAGGGAATGTCATGTCTGACAAAAATCCCTTCCTATTCCACCTTGAAAACCTGTTCCTTTGTTGTTGTGAGTAAATGATAGTTAATGTACAATAACCCATAATCCATTTGTTAATCATCAGTTCATTGAAATTAGGGTTGCTTTTGGCAGATTTCTAACATCTATTTGTAGAATTTATTTTGGATAGCAAGGGGAGTTGACAAAGCAAGAATTATTATTTGGTCTTCTGCTATTTTTAAAGAAATGAAAGGGGGGGAATCTATCAACATACCAAATAAAACAGCTAGAAACAAGTCTAATGTTTATATATCTTTTATGCGCTGTTTTATCTCACCTTTTCTCAGCATGAAAGCTTTCATGTCAAAGGAGCTGTGCTTATAAGAGGAGCAGGGAGGAAACTCTGCAACTTTCAGAACACATGTCACAGCATCTGGCTTCTTTGCAGGCTTTTGAAGGTGGTTGTGCTGACAGCTTCAGAACTGTCCGTTAGACTGCCAAGACAGCTGTAAAAGTAGCTGGCTAACTATTCTTTTGAACGTCATTTTCATAGGATTTAACTTTGAATCTGAGGGGAAAATTACTTTCGTCTTTAATTAATTAGTACCCTTATTCTATTTTCATTATTCATTTTTGGAGCAAAACTGGCTTCTTTTTCTCACGAACAACATAAAGCATTTGTTTTTTGTGTGTGTTTTTTTTTTCCTTTTGTTTTAAGGAGGGTTTGAGGTATCAATATTACTAATAATTTTCTTTTCTATATGTATTTTACTGTGATACATTTGGAGGGAATTGAAGAGAAATCAGATGCTAAATATTCACCAAAACCACAAGCTACCTTCATGAACATCTGGATATATTTAAATACATCTAGAGAGTGATTTTAGAGACATATCATCTTCCACAGAGCATAAGGATTTGGGGAATGGGCCTTCAAAATGAGGCCTTGCTATTTCTCCTCAATCCATTAAGCATTTTAGGATTTTAAGGAAGATCGGAAGGATGATTCTTTGTATCCTTCAAATCTTTCCAGGCTCCCATAAAACTCTTTCCTCAGGGTCTTGGAGATTTCTGTTTTTATTACTTTAATCTTAGTGAGCATTTAATAGTATCTTTACAGCTTTATTTTTCATAGTACAGTGTGCAATAATGGGTAACTTACCTGAGATGAAAAAATATATTAGAGGAAAAATTACAGATATTTTTTCTAATAAGTAATAGAATATATTAGCATTAGGCTTTATTACAGTGTATTAATTATCTTAATAGAGGGCTATACATTTTCTTCATTTAATATATACAGGAAAAAATTTCAATCAATACTGACCTTTAAGACTCCTACTGGTTTTATATTCTGTAGATGCTGAAACTGACTGCAAATTAGATTCTGCAATATACCTTGTTCCTTATATTTTTCAACTGATTAGTTTCAGAGAGTTGGCAGTAACTTACACTGTTGCATTCAGTTTGCAATTTTGTAGCAATCTCAAGCACCGTGTTCAACCCCGCAAGGTACTGTTGAGAGATGCTGTCAAACTCTTTAGATATATGTATTTTCATTCTCTCGCCATGCTTGGTACTCATTTAAAAGAACCAGTCTTTAATTTATAAAGCAACATTTTCCAAATGAAATTTAGAAAGACAGGAATCTGTCACATACATTAATTCAGTTATATCTACATGTTAATGTACGGAGATTTACTCTCAGAGTTCCAATTAGGAGGTCATTATACTCTAGTAAATATTATTTTTGTAATTTTTAATAAACAATAATCGTACAACTGTACAGTCCTGTATTACATAGCAATTACACTAGTTTCATCATTAATATACCACTGTTTTTTGTTACTTGGACTATGCTTTATGTTTATTTGTCATCTAGGAATTTCAAGGTAATTGGAGCTATGTTTACATAAAGGGAGATGATTGTACATCAGATATAATAAAAAATCAACATAAAAATGAAATAGCACTGTTGAAAATAAATTTAACATTTTCAGTCTTCTAAAGTGGTAGTATAATTGATTAGGAGGAAAGAATTTAAAATGCACTTTGCCTCAATCTCCCTTTCACAGTATATTATTTTGGATAGGATATAAACAGTAATTTTCAACCATCATGTGCATGTTAACCTGATCTCTGCTGGATGGAACTGGAACTGCTCATCTGTCTTAATACAATTACACCTGAGGAAGATTTCTCTTTAGCTCAAGTGATGGAGGACTGTGATTGTTTTGGAATAAAAATTACTGAGTTCTGTCTTGCTGTCACCACGTGAGGTCATGGTGTTTGGTTTAGAGATGACTGAAACATCAGATCTGTTACAATCTTAAAAAGGCAGATTTGGAGGAGGAGGTGGCAGTCAGGTTGCAAATGAATCAATGAATGTGCAAATTCATTGATTTCAATCATATAATGTTGATGGTTTGATATTTGGAGCCAAAGTCAACTTGACAGTAATATCTGGATTTCTAAATGGAATACACATTTTGTAGTCCATATTTAATATTCTTCAGTTGTGTAAAATACTGAATTTTAATTTAATAACAAATTATAAGATGCTATAATTTACAGACCTCTTTATATTTTTCTATTGACTCATCCTTTTCTCTCTTTGGTAATCAACAGGTGTTTCTTGGAAGATGGAGCTTCAAAAGGTGCCTGGCTGAACCGGTCAAGTATTATTTTTGCAGGAGAGGATAAATGGTCAGTAGATCCTCGAGTTTCAATTGCAACAGCAAATAGAAGGGAATACAGCCTCCAGATACAGGATGTAGATGTGACAGATGATGGTCCATATACTTGTTCTGTGCAGACCCAACACACTCCTAGAACAATGCAGGTGCACCTAATTGTACAAGGTATGTATTTTTTCAAGTGTGAATCACTATTAGGAATGAGCTGGAACAATCATTTTCTAAAGAAAGGGTCTTGTCAGAAATGTTTAGAAGTATGTTATCTTAATGTACAATATTGTGATCAGAATACATCTTGCTAGGGTTTGTCTGACTTTTTTGTATGTATGTTATACCCTTGCCTCAAGGATCTGGTACACTATAACAAGGTTAGATTAACTTCGTGCTTTTCAGCAGAGATCCTCTGGTAAATATTTAATGAAGCTAAATCCTCATCTCCTTTGCCTCATAGTAGATAGTAAGCTATTCACTTCTATCCCATTCATGATCTAGATGATAGACATCTTAGTATGTTTTCAGATACTCACTCAAAATTCCTCTGTGATGTCTTCATGGATGCATTTTTTAAAATAATGCATTGATTAATTACTGTGTTGAATATTTTATAAAAGATATAACAGTTTTCAAATTAATGAACCAGTTTGGGCTTTTTTTTAGCATGTTTCATTTACTAGAGCATGAAGCTATGGTGTGAGATAAATTTATGTAGAATAGACTAAATCTGTTTGAATATTACTTATTCTTTGGAATAGGTCATCATCATATTGCCGCCAGTGTCAGCTACAGCTTTCATTGCTACATAACTGGAACAACAAGCCATTGTTGAAAAGGTGTACATTCAAAAGAGATTTCTGTAATCATTCATTACGTGATTATTTCACTTTTCTTGTTCTACTAATTCTGACTTGTCAAATCCTCTAACATACTACAAACGTTCTGAAGTGCCAAATGGAAGTCCAGTTACTTTATGAGCATTTCTGTGACTTATGTGGCATCTAAATGAGCAATATCATGGTTGCTCTTGGTTACTTGCAGGGATTAAGTAAATTTCTGCTGGAATCAGATGCCACTTCTTGATTATCTCATACACTCAGGGCAGAATATGGGCAGGATATTTCACAGTGTGAAAATGTTTTTTTCTTATTTTAAAAATAGTAACAATACACACATTTTAATTCAGTAGTTGCCTCTTAAACAAGCCAAGCAGGTAATGTGGAGCTGCAGAAAGTGCATACCCTAGTATTAGATCTACGACTGTTGCTGTTCTGCAGAGCTTTCTGCCATTTAGAAGAAGATTTATTTTTTCAAAGCTCAGTCTATCATACAATGAATAAGGCAAGCCTTTAATCATATCATGGTGTTTACAGATGTAATTATTCATTTGAAAATGACTGGCATTTATGCAGTTTTCCAGTTACATTAAAAAAGTTCAAGAGTGAGAAACATCAATAAGCCAAACAGGGTCAATTCAAGCAGTAAATAAATGTCATGGAAAACAACGTTCCTCAAGTAGAGATGATTATCTACATGCTAAAACAAGCCATTGCACACATTTTTATTCCTTAGATCTCCTACAATCTTTCCTGTCAAAGCATGCCTGCGAACACATTTGAAAACTGCTTTTGCATGATGAAATTTGAAACCTAAGTCAATTATTGAGAGGGTCAATAGTTTTTCATTTTTTGAGGACTGAAACTATCAAAATATGTTTTAAAGCACTTGTTTTTGCTTGAATAAGCAGCCCAATAATCATCTGTTTTCAAGCATCCATAAAACTTAATTAAAAAAAAATTTTGGAGACAGGTAGAATAGAAATTAGCAATGTAAGGCAGTACCTTTCGGTGTTGTTCAGCAGTTTAAATCCAGCTGCAGCTGGCAGTGACCAAAATCCATTTAATTGCTTTTTAGTGGCCTTCATAAAATAACTTTAGTGACCTTTGTTCAGCTCTCCATGGAGAGGCACCTATTTTACTAGTAAAACCTTATGTGAACCTTGTACTCTAGCTGGTTTTGCTGGACAGGCTAAAGATTAAATGCTCATAGACATGTTCCATTCAGGTTAAAGTGGAGATCTGTCAGCAGGGTATATTGGGTAAATCTGTAGCATCTTCATCTGTGCTCTGCTGTTTCCATGGATGGGGAACTTCAGTTAAAAAATGTTACGTTACTGTATTTTCACAAAAACTGTAATAGTTCATTGGTTTTAACACAGAAAAGTGTTACTTGCATGTTAGAAATACTGTACGTGTTAATTATCCAGAGTTGCTTGTTTCCTTGAGTTACAAAATGCAAAAACCATATATAACAGCCAATTGTTGTCACTTGGGTTGTGCCTACGTGATGTGAGGCAGAGCCATGCAGAGGTAACTGGCCCTAGCTTGACTGAAGAGTGCTGTTGAGTCAAAGAGCACATCAGAACTCTTTGACCTGTGCTACTCTGCTACTTCTGGAACTGGAAGCAGTTAATTAGACAGGTTAGGGCAGCATTTTCTACAGGCTGTTATGCCCTGATGAGAATATGGCTCACATGGTTAATATTGCTTCCCAGCATTAGAGTTAGCCCATTAACGACTACTCTAAGCCAGGGGTTTTCAACCTTTTTGGATCAGTGTACCCCCGGTGGCTGGATGTGGAGTGGAGTGGGCAGTGGGAAGGGAGGGATGGAGTGCGGCTGAATGCAGAGTGGCAGCAGCCACCGCATGAAAGCTTCCCCTATGGCCGGTCGGGCAGGCAGCACCTGTGCAGCAGCATGGGATGGTGTATGGCGGTGCTCTGCCCCACCCACCGTGTCTACCCCCTAGGCCCTTCTCAGGTACCCCCGGGGTACACGTTCCTCCAGCTGACAATTCCTGCTCTAGACTATTTCTGCACAGTACTTGTCTTGTACCATACAGACATTCTTCCAGTTAGTTATTTTTTAACCAATGATTTTCTAACATAGACTGCATAAAAACTTGAGAGAGCATGGACCAGAATCCACATTTCTCTCCACAGCAAGTACTTTAACTGTTATGTTTCAGATCCAGACTCCCTTTCACTTGCTTTTCTGCAGGCACAATGACTTCCTTTCTTGGCTGATGCTCCAGCTTCTTCAGTAGGCTTTTCCTGGGATGCTGGATGTGTGGGTTTGAATGCACTCGTGTGGCTCAAAACCTAGGCATCCTTCTTTTTGGAAGAGTGCTGTATTTTATGAACTATCAAATATGAAAATAACCTGGGGTGGATTGTGGGGAGGCAGAGGAGAGGTGCCACTGGTGCACTTGTACCTCACTTGGATCCCTGGTCTACCCAAAGTTTAAAACTAACTGCCTGGCAGTGGCAGTAGCATTTCTTGTCAGGAATTGGTGAGGGAGTCACTTGACTTCATGGCTCATTAAAATATACTCAGTCCCATCTAAACTTTTAATTCCACAGGTGTTAGAGACCCTTTCTTCTTTTTCTTAATAGTTGTGATGTTCCACTAATCCAGCTGTCCTTTTTTCTTCAATTCTGCTGTCTGTTAACTGCCCCTGGCAATGAAGCTCCTATTTCACAGCCCTGTGCCTTGTTTCTAACTCATTCCAATGAAGATATATTTGTTTTTGCTTCAATCCAAAACTGACTAATACAGCCCTAGCATATTAGTAAAACATCTGGTTTATTTTTAATGAGAGAAAAATGTGTGTTGTTTTATTTGTGATGATGCACCTCAGCGTCTGAACCCCCACCCCCTTGTCAAAATTCTAGGTCCACCCATGGACATAACTATCCGGATTGTCAAATGCTCATAAATGTATGGACAGTCCATAAAAACAAGGCCAAACATGTTCATCTGCAAAGTCTGTATAAAAAATTGACCTGGCCTTAAAAAACTAAGAACTTAGAGAACTAAGAGCTTGATTGAGACCTCAATGCAAGTGTTGATAAACAGAGCAGAGCACCTGGAGTCCAGTGAGGCATGCCTCGAGTCCAAAAGGGTTGAGATATATTGAATTAAGGAATAACATTCTCATAGGGGAGGCTTTTTAAAATTAATCTGATGATAATGCTGGGTTATAAATTGGAATTTTTGGTTTTATACTCATCCTTATAATTAGGACAGGACTGACTTTTTTTTGCAAAAGTGGGCAAAGACAAGGGAGAAACCTGAATGTTAATACTTAAAATTCAGAGTGTCACCAGTTTTTGTGTGGTAGTCTTTGTTGTCACAGAAATTAACTATTTGTTGACTTTTGTTTTTTCCAAGAGTCTCTTTGTACTAATAGCTCCCTTAGTCCTCAATCTCACCTTCCACAAGTTTTTTTTTCCCTTTCCTCCGGCAGCACAGTGTGAAACCATTGTTACAGTCAGGTAAGACTTTATGCTAGGTGGTGGCTTGAGCCAGATTTGGTGTTCAGCTCCTAAATTTGAGCACAGCACTTGTTACTGCTCCCCAGGGCCTAGCAGAAGGGATACATTTACATTATGGAAAGCATATGCCAGTAAAAAGTTTGGTTGTCAATGTCCATGGGGGCAGGGGGAGCTCCAGAGATGTTTTTACCCACATGAGCCAGGTTTGGCTGGAGATAATGGCAGTGGGCAGGTTCCCCTTCCTTACCCACACCTCACAGGTGTTCCTACCAGCCTGGGAGCAGGCTCAGTGAGGGAGAAGACATCTGATGCCACCATCGTCACCATCTGAGCCCGACTCCCTGTTTAGCCTGGCTGGAGCGGCTCTAAAGCTCTCTACCATTAGGTCAGCTAGGGACAGCATCAGCAGTGAGGAAGGGAAGGAAGAGGGGCACCTGTGAGCATGCAGGGGAGTGCTGAGAATGCAGGTGTGGGGATGCAGTCACCCAGTCAATGCCAATCACTGCTCTCTCACCTCAGTTACAAATCCTGGATCTGACCTGATCAGAGTTGCTATGTCTTTTGCTTCGCATTGGATTCAACACTTGCTGTTTTAGGCAACCTCCAAGCACACCTACAAAGATTAGGCACCTCAAGAGTCTTATTTACTGTTCTGCCACCTTTTTGGATCACAATGGAGCTATGCACTTAGCTGCCCAAGTGAGAACTCTTCTGTGCATGTGCATAAGTTAAATTAAATGCCTAGGGAACTTTCGGGTCCAGAATTTAGGCAGTGAATGAACATAAGTACTGAATGGGTATTACAGCTGCTAAAACAGGTTTCTAGATCAAATTTT